CGTGATCGTGTCAGCGACGGACAAGCCATGAAGAAACTACTGACCGAAGGAGATCTCGTGGTTTGTCCTGAAGGAACCACTTGTAGAGAACCTTACTTGCTAAGGTTTAGTCCTTTGTTCGCTGAGATGAGTGACGTCATCGTTCCCGTGGCAGTTACGTCACCCGCGACCTTCTTCTATGGTACAACGGCAAGTGGCCTTAAGGCATTTGACCCGCTCTTCTTCCTCATGGATCCTTACCCGAGCTACACTGTTCAGTTTCTTGACCCTGTCCCCGGTGTCACTTGTCAAGATCCTGATGGGAAGTTGAAGTTCGAAGTGGCTAATCGTGTTCAGAGTGCGATTGGGAAGGCGTTGGATTTTGAGTGCACCAATCTCACCAGAAAAGACAAGTATTTGATCTTGGCTGGTAATAATGGCGTAGTGAAGAAAAATTAAATATGTGTGTGTAAGTTTCGTTGTAAAGTTACCAATGCTTCATTGATTTTTTAAAATATATTATAATTATAGTGTTACGTAAATGTTTTAAAAATAATGTTGCGTAAATGTATGTAAACTATCTTTCTCTTGGTAATGTATATCTTTATAAAAAATGTCTATCTTTATAGTTATATACTCCTTTTTTTTCTTTAAAATGATGTTTTAGTTTTGTCGCACATAAAATAAATACATGTTAAAAAATACATGTTTGTGCTTCTAACTTATTGTATATGTTTTCAACTAGTTTAATGTCTTATTTATCATTCAATAAAGTTTTACAATTCATGTTTAATTATAAACTTCATTTTATATTTATTTTAAGATGCATTAGCTAAAAGTAAACATCAAATTTTCAAATACAACATTATAATCTAAAATAACAATCATTCAAATACATAAATAGTATGATAATTTATTCATGATCTTGCTTTTGCTGTTATTGTACATTTATAAAACAATGGTCCACAGTACCTAATAATAGTAAAAAAATAGAAGACAGATTATTTATTACTTAGCAATCATTTATATTTATTCGGACACGTCGTAAAGTTGTTAAATTTGTGCATTGTATTGGTAGGCACATGCATCATAAATGTTATAACCGTCTAGCCCAAATAATGTAACCAAACTTATTTAAATCATGTATACAAAGCATAGATGGCCTTGTGTGTATAATATATGTATATTTGGTATAACTGTACCTATGGTTGTGCAGATTCGTCAACGTCACTCCCGTTGCCACCTCTGCAAACTCTTTGAATACGAGTTTGATTGCACCTCTCCACAAAAGATTAAAAATTTTGAAGTGCCGTGAAAGAAAGAACCGTGCATTTAGTTTCTTTTCTTTGTCCACTAGAATCAACATGTTCATCGATAAGATGATTCCGGATAAGTTATTCAACATTCTATGCAGGATGATCGCTACATGCTTGTAATGTTTCGTTTTAAATCTTACACTGCTCTCACATAAATTCACAGAAGAAGCGTGTAATATTTTTGTGAAGCAGTGTTCATCGATTTTAGAATTTTCTTTAAATAAAAATTAAGTTGAGCAAAAAGTTAATAAATCTGGTATACATTCGTCGGTAAAAATAGTTATGTGTATTATATTTTTAAATGTAAAGTTTTGTTTTACGTTCACTAACGGGGTCGAGAAACCATGTTAGCATGTGAAATGAAAAAAAAAAAATGTGCCACCAAGGAAATAATTAAGTCAAGGGACCCTGCATTACAAAAGTTTGCAAATCAATTTTGTTAATATGATTTCCTGTTTTAGCATTGTTCAAATAAAGAGAAACAACATGCCAATCAACTTTTGGTAGTCAGTGTAATAATGAATGCATTTTGAAGTTTCAACAGAAAATGACCAATCAAAAGTATATGAAAAGGGACATGACATGTTGTTTTTCTTAACATTGTCATATAAATTTGTTTCTAATAATTATGATATTTTTTCTGTTTCAATTTAGTTATGGTTGTACAGAAATATCTGTTTCAAAATAAATATCACTTTATAATTTCAATGCATAATTTATTAATTTTATATATTTTTCTATTTTTATTAGTTGTAATATGGTTAGATTTATAGGTAATCATATTTTTATTTTGAAACTATACAAAATTAAATATTTTTTAATTTATGTGCACAAATCTAAAATGTTAATTAAAATAAAATGGATGGAATAATAAACTATCTACAATATATGCAATCTTGATAAACAGTTTCATTGACAAAAATTATATGGTGTAGCTCTTTCCGTTACATTCAGATCGATGGATGGTTCTGCATATATGACATCGTTAATAGATATGTTCTTTCTGCAGCACATAATTACAATGATGAACATTTTGAAATTTTCGATTGATATGTATTTTATAATATGCAAGAATTTCAAATCCCAAATCTATTATAAAAACATTTAATCTTCACCATTAAACCCCACGATCACGATGCTTACATGTCACAATGTTAACTCTATAAACTATATGTTAAGATATTTATTTGATATCAACCTCAATGTTATTTGTAGTGCATTAACAAAGATTTTACCTATAATTTTAGCACATAAAATAAATATAGATATAATATTTTTTTTAAATCCGAACGACACTAGAAAACATATAAATGAAAATAGAAAAATATATGAGATAAAACTAGGAAAAACAAAAACAAAACATATAGAAGATTTAAAGAAGATATAATATTTTCTTTAATCTGAACGACTAGAAAATATATAAATGAAAATAGAAAAGCAGATGAGATAAAACTATGAAAAACAAAAACAAAACATACCGAAGATTTAAAGAAGAAATGAGGGAGAGAAAGTAGATTAAAAGAGGAGATCAGAGAGAGAGAGAGTTAAAAAAATTGAGAAACTGTTTCACAGATTGAATAGAATGACACACTTAAGAGTGTAGGAGGAGAGATGGAGAAAGCTATTCTGGTCATTAAATTGGAATGAATCAAATCATGAGTAATTTGCTAATTATGGAGATGATTTATGGTGCACAAATAGTTTAATGATATAAATGAGGTAAAGAAAAATAGTTTAATTCCTTGCAGAAAAACAGTTTAATTCTTTGCAGAAAAACAGACCAATAAGAACAACACAATTGGCATTTGAGTATTATATTAGGAAGTTCTTGGAGTGTGTGTTTCAAGAAACGGTTGTGCTCTTCTCCCTCCATTTTCTGTTCTTTTTAATTGTTTAATTGCTGAGATACATATTAAAAATCTCCCCTCGGAGATGGCCTTGTCTGACTGGAAAGAAGAGAAACAAAATCTATAGTACTGTTGACAAAAATAAATTCTGTATATTTTAACCAAAAAAAAAAATTTGTTTGTATAATATAGTAATATTTTCGAGTCAATATCCACTTGATAGCTGGTCTAATATGATGTGTTATGATATTCCGTAACAATAAATATTGTGTACAGCAGAAATAATTTCGTCTCTAGCCCATATGCAGCTTATTACAGTAAAGATTTAGATATGCTCCGTGGTGATGGTCGCCATCACTGTCGCATTGTCTAATCACAACTGTGTCGACACGTGTAAATGATTTGATTGGCCACAACAGAGATAGATAAAAAGTCAAACATTTGATACTTAACACAAAAAGAAGATACGAAATGGTAACTGACACGTGTCTATCTAGTTTTAATGGACTGGGTCATAAGGTTAGAAGTTGTCATTTAAGTCTATCGGCCCATTAGTTGGGTCCACCCGTTTTACAAAATTAATGAGCTTTTAAAACTAAAAGGACCAGTCGGCAATTTTGTAGTTAAAGAGCTTTTAAAATTAAAGGACCCATTCTGCAAATTTATATTTTATTTTCTTTTCCGTTTTTTGTTTGTGTGTGTGTGTGTGTAGCCACGACGATGGTGGCGGCTCTCGCGACTGCCGCCATAGCCGGAGATGGGAAACGTCGTAGACGTTGTCTCCGGTGAAGATGTTAGGCTTAATTTTTTGGGGGTTTAAGTTGTCGGAAACTATCACTGATCAGTTTGAGACAGGACAACTCTAGTTATGTTCTTGTTATAACCTTTGATTGTAATGAAATTTTGCTAAAAGTTGTCTATCACGTCTGGGATGGTTACAAATTGGGTATAGTTAGTGAGTTTTATTTGATTTTTTATGTTACCCTTTAAGAGAACGTGTGCTGGAACAATCATATTCACATGTTTTTTTTTTTTTTTGAACACAATCATATTCACATGTTATGTTATGTAATTGAGCTTATATTTGACTTGTGTTGTATGTTGACTTGCTGTCCGAGTATCATGGGAATATAAAGGGTACTCGATATGTTTTTTTTTTAAACACAATTGCTCTTTGTTTGAGCTAATTTTTTTTGTAATGTCGAATCACTAGTAGTATCCATAACATGTGTGTGTATAGTACTACGTTTACCTGACCAAAGACCCCTACGTTTGCTTATGGATAGAACTACATATGAAAGAATCTGTCAAGTCATGTTATGTTAATCTGTAAGACTTCTTATCTAGAAAACAAAGAGATTGGTAAGGGATTGAAGACAGGTTCTGTCCTGAAAGAACTATATAAATTCCGCTAAGGCAAATAGAATGTAAGCTTCAATGTTATCTAAAACTCCAGCTTTGTACATTTCAGCATTTAGGTCTTAAGAACAACACCAGTGCTATGTTTCATTCACCAACTATACTAAATACTAGTCATTGACATATTTGTCAAAACCCAAATCATAAAAGAAATTGTTTATTTTAATCAGAAAATCAAACTGCTAATGACTCATGAATCTAGGAATGTTATATATTAAACAGCATTATTAGTTGGATAATGAGGAGTTCAAGAAAGACTCAAAAGTTTCACAGTTTGAGGGATCAGCCATTAACTCAGCTTCTTCTTCTGGTATGTGTTTTTTTTTTCCAAGCTTTTGAACCCATTCCTCATTCAAAAAGTCACGCAAATGTTATCCATCTCTGAATCTCCAAGAAATTCTTGAAACAGTTTACTGTAAGTAGGAGAGCCAACAAAGCCTCAATGTGACTCATCTATACCTTGGTTCACCGGAAGATCTGTGGCTTGTGCTTCCATGGTTTGATTTATCAAAGGAACATTGTCCTGTGCCTCAAGATGTAGCTGAGCAGCTGAGTTTGTAATGATATCTTCATGCTGTTGTTGTTGAGTCTCCATAGGAACTGTTGGGAGTTCGATCTTCTTTTCCCTTATACTGTCATATGGCTGATCCGACCATGGACTGCTTTCAAGAGCCTGATTCATCATAACTGGAACCTGTGGTGTTGCTGAGCAGCAAATGCTAAGAGAGCTGAGAGATCATTGTTCTGTCCCAACTACTGATGGTTTTGAGCCAAACCTAGAGCAGAAGAGACAACATCTTGCTGCCCCATCATGTTTTGATCATATGGTTGTGCCGAGTATGGACCAAATAACCCATTCCATTGCTGCTACTGCTGCTGCTGCTTGAGCCGAGTGTGAAGTATCTGTCCCCTGTCCCCAAATAAGGTTCTGGCTTTGCTGCTGGTGAGACGTAGGTTGCTTGTTGTCCAAGAATCAAAGTCTCGGTGTTGCTCCATGCTTCCATTCACTGAGAAATGCAACCTTGAGCAGCCATTAAGCATTGTGTCATTGGAACCATGTCTTGTCCCAAATATTGATGACCCGAGGATGAAACAGAATATCCATTCCACTGTTGTTCCTCATTGAAGGCTTGATTCATCATCACTGGAACCTGCCGAGGATCCTTCGTCCCTTGTCCTAAATACTGGTTTTGGTTCTTGACCATATTTCCAAAACCTTGACCATATTGCTCCATCTGTTCTGTATTATGGTTATGCTGCTGCCCATAGAACCCAAAGCCTTGATGCTGCTGACCATAGGACCCAAAGCCTTGGTCCTACTGATAATAGAACCCAAAGCCTTGGTCCTACTGATAATAGGACCCAAAGCCTTGATCCTGCTCCATGCTTTGGCTTGATGAATCTCCACCTGAGGGTCCACGTACTGAAGTTCTTACCAGCAGCTAGAGATGTTAAAATGGGCTTGAAGCCCGCGGGCCTAACGAGTGCGGATCTTTTACCCGTTTATTATAATATAAAAGATAAACGTGCTCGTACGGTCCACCCGATTAGACCCGTCACGTTAATGGATATACCTATCGTACCCGTTTAGACATGTTTATGATTTTTTTTTAAAGAATTATATTTAAAACGAATTTAAATATATATTTTAATTTTTTTAATGATGTTATAATGTGTGTTTTGAAACTAAATAGTTATATTATATGTATAGTTTGTGTTTCTTTTTTTAAAAATATTTTGATTATAATTATGTTTATATCTACTAGAATTTGTTGATATTTTTATGATATTATGAACTAATTAATATTTAACAAAAGTAAAATAATTTTTTTTCATATTTTTCGCTAATTGAATTTATATTTATTATAAAGTTATTAAATCAAAGAAAAATATTCAAAATTATATTAAGATATGACAAAAGATTATTGACCAAAAAGTAAAATTCACAAAAGAAAAACATTCACTATCAACATAACCAGAGTTAACATTAAACGGACTTGACGTTAAATGGATCTAAACAGACTTGACATTAAACGGATCTAAACGGACATGACCTAAATGGACATGATCTAGACGGGCCCGGGTAACCTATATCAACATCCCTAGAACTAGTTGTTTAGCATACAATATATATTATCTCAAAAGTCTGAAATTTCTGAATTATTTTACTCCTTCCATATTTAAAGATATAATTTTTGAATTTTTTTCTATTTTTTATTTTCAATAAATATTCTGCCATTCATATTTTTTTTGTATTTTAAATTATATTTATTTTTTGGATAAAATGCATTAATTAAAATTTTAAACATCAATATTTCAGCAAAAAAAATCTAAAATATAAGTATTTCCTAAGTTTCATAATGTTACATGTTTTAGAAGAAAAAAGTATTTCTAAAAGATATATTTTTCATATTTTCAAGGGAGAATTTGTGAAATAGCTAAGTTTGCAGAAGAAATTAAGTGCATGACCTTGATTTTGACATAAGTAGGTAAGTGACAATACTTATGTGACAATTATGCTTCTGTTTACCCGGTTTTGACCTTCTCTCGTGCAAGTAGCAGGTGAAAGAAAGATGTATAAATGACATAGAAAAAATAATGCATGGCTAATATTAACAGCAAACTATTCGAATCTGAAGAATTATAAAGAAGCTACGTCATATTAGTATTAACCACATACGGTTTTCTGTAAGGAGTAAATATGTGGACCATAATAGATTAATTTTATATGTGTTTTCCATACTATTCATTTTATAGAAGCATATAGTATAGAGTAAAACCAAACATCGTAAGAATGGATTTCAGTTTATAAATGACAACATAGAAGTACTAACTTCATCTCGAAAGATAATACTAAACCTTAACTCCCGAATATAAACCCAAACCTTATATATAAACCCAAACCCAAAATAGAAACCTTAAACTAAACCCTAGCTAACTCCCAAATATAAACCCTTACCCCATATATGAACCCAAACCCCATATATAAACCTTAAACTCAAATATGACACCATAAACTGTTTAACTAGCACTATATACTATTTCGTTAATATATAATAGTTCATGGTGAAATTATGAAATCTCTATGATTGTATAGAAAAAATTAATGGCGATCACAACCTCCTCACTATGATTGTATAGAAGAAGTTAATGGTAACCACAACCTTCTAAATACTAAATCCTAAATTTTAATCACTAAACCCTTATCCAAATATAAAACCTAACCACAAATATCAAAATCTAAAAAGTACATAATATTATGGAATATTAAATTATGTTATGTAATCTTAAACTATACAATATAGATCATAGTACGATTGTTATAGGTTCAAAAACAAATAACGATAGTTAGAACTTAAAAAAATTACAAACTATATTTCTAAACAAAATAAAGCACTTTTTAGTAACTGTCCAATGGAATTGAACATGATAAAGTAGTATACTAACATAATATGCCGCATTACATAATATGTCTACGTAGAATAGAAAGAATCTATCAATAGAATAGTAACGCTAGTTAAATCCACTTCATGCGTAGGTGACTTCTATGCATGTTTCATCACCTTTAGTGGGATCTTAGATATAGTGCTACACATTTCATTTATCTTTTGTATAGTATAGACCACACAAAAAAAATCATTTTCTCTGATCAAATTTTAGTAAATAAGTAAATAGTAATTGATACATAGAATGAACCATCTATTAAATAGTATGGACATTTTATATAAAATAGTCGACGACTTCATTTTCTTCTCCTCTTTTTTTTTTACAGACATGGTGATACACATTTACTGGCCCATCATCCTTATTCTTCACCATCATATAAAATTGACGAACCATCATCTCTTTTTTTTTCTATGGCGGCCATATATTTACCGTTCGCCGTCAAGCATTCACTCAAATCTGAAAACTAATCACTTTATTCCAACATCCATACATACTTTAACACTATATCGAACATCCCGTTCGTGTTCACCAAATTTTTCCCATCATAAGTAAAAGACCAAAAGAGAAATCGAAACTGACAACGGCTGTAAATCGCCGCCTCGCCAATTGTCTCGATTTGGATTCCACGAAGGTTAATCACTATCCACTGAAGCACTATTAAAATAGCGTTGTCGTTCAGAAATCTAAAATATGGACAGAGAGGTTGGAAATACAGTGGCTATGAATTAGAATAGACTTTTCACTTTCTCTCAGGAAAAAAATGTAAAGTAAGTTTTGAGAAGCTATATAATTATTTATTTTTGTTTTTCTTTCTTGCAGGTTTCGCCGGTAATTCATAAGGCAATATGACAAATATTATATAAAAGAGGAACTGTGTATCGGTGAGTTAGGTCTTTTTGTCATGGAGCTAATTATAAAATGTTTGAAGGTTATACAACGCAATTTCCCTATTTTCAATGCATATTTTGTCAAATAATTGATTACAAATATCAAAAACTTAATTACACTAGTTGGATTTTTATTGTTTAGATTTATAGGAAAAATATAAAAAATGTATTTATCATATGTTTTGTTAATAAGGTTGAAAAACTAAAATATAGATCATATTGAAACCGAGAATATTGCAATAAAGAGAACATTAAATTACGGAAAGAGTAAAAAAGTATAAAAGGCTGAATTTTAGTATTGTTTTGAAAAATCAGTGATTAATGTGAATTTTTGTTCTTTCAAAACTTGTCGAATCTAAGTCAATTCAGACATACAACTTCAAAGCGTCACTATCCTTGGTATAAGGAAAACAAATTCAAAATATGCACGAAATGAAAGTCATGTGGACAGGAAACTATTGTGTAATAGTCACACACAAAAAGGATACGCGTCTCCCCAGACCCCGTATGATTATCTCTACAATTGCTGATTTGATAAACGTTTCTAAAAGTGTATATTCCAATTCAAGCTTTTAAGAGGAAAGAAAATAAAGTATGAGGGATCAGATTGACCGATATTGAGCTTGACTGGTATTGGTAAAGATGGCATGAAGTCACATCCTCACTTTCAAATGAATAATAATAATAATTATTATTATTATTATTTAACGACAGAACGTACGCAAATTTGGAAATCAGTGGTAACATATTGATGATACTATCAAAGTATTAGATTATATGTCTAATTTTATGTTAGTACAAATTAGTAATTTCCTCTTGATTAGCAAGCCAATGTACCTAGACAAATTAGTGTTTCGTAATTATCTTTTCCTTTTCATTTTACAATGATAATTGAAAAGCTAACTTGGTCAAACTTGTTAAAGAGACAAAAGGAAAAAAATATAACGTTATTACTTAATAAAAATTGCATTCCTTAATTAACATTCAAAAGCTTGTTTTCTTGTCTTTAACTATTTCTTGGATATGCATGTTAAGATGCTTTTGACTAGTTGTTGTATAGTATTTTCTAACGTTTGAATCCTATCAGAAGTACTCTCTATCTTTCTCTCTCCCTCTACAACAATGGCGCAGCAACTTTTCTCTTCCTCTCAACTTTCTCATTCTTTAACCTTAAGCCGTCTCATGAGCCGCAACAGTCTCCTCCTCGTCCTCCTACTTCTCCTCGGTTTATCCTTACCCTGGACAGGATCTCCCTTATTCATGTTCCCTAACAAAAGCTCTTCTTATTCTTATTCTTCTTTGCCCTCAAACTGGCGCGACTATTCTCTTGCTCAAGCAGCCAAGTTCGTCGCCAAGGACGGGACTGTGATCGTCTGCACCGTTAGCTATCCCTTCTTGCCTTTCCTCAACAACTGGTTGATTAGCGTTTCTAGACAGAAGCATCAAGACAAAGTTCTCGTGGTCGCTGAGGATTACGCTACTCTCTACTTGATTAACAAGAAATGGCCCGGTCATGCCGTTCTCATTCCCCCAGCGCTGGACTCTAAGACCGCAAATAACTTTGGTTCCCGGGTATAGTTTCACATTTTCAATCCAAAATTCACTTGTAACTTGAGGTATCCTTATTAGAAAATTGGGTTTATGCATAACTCTTAGTTTATATACTTAATTTTTATCGTATTAGCATTTGGTAATGAATGCATTGACTATGCGTTATAGACCCCTAGAACCGTAACGCTTACCTTTTAAATTGTACAAAACGTCATGATATCATAATAGTTAATAATATAAAATCGTTTAATAACAATTTATGATAATTAATATAGAGAAATTCCTTAGAATAACATTTTCGTTTATTTTCATATAAAAAGAACACATAAAAATGACCAAAATTAGGTTTATTAAATGTAAATATATATACTTATATTCTTATAGTTAACTAAGGATAGACGTCTAGTTTAAAGTTAAGGAATGGAGTTTGGATAACTCTTTAAAAATAAATTTTAAAATTTTAAAAAATAAAATTTGAAAAATAGTCTAAAAAGCATTTTCGAATTTCAAGAAGAAATGTTGAATTTTTTTTTAAATTAGAATTTAAAAGCATATACATTAATTTAAAATATAATTTTTATATATCTATATTATTTATTTTATATATATATATATAAAACAAAGAGTAAAAATGTCTTCTTTTTTTTAAAGGAAATCTATTTTGGTAATTTTTCTTCTTTAAAACTATTTTGGTGAAAAAAATTTCAAAATAAATGATCTGAGAGAATTACCGTTTAATTTTCTTTTTTAATAAAATCTGAAGAAAATAAATGATAAAAAGTTTAGTCTTTATACATTATAATATTATACTATATATTTAATACATTATACATCTATGGCTGATCCTATGAATAACAAAATACTGGTGAACTTGTGGATGTAGCAACCATAACTCTTTCTGATTTTGATATTTTGAAGGATTCTGCATACGCTTTCTTAATGTGATAATCACCTCAAAGAAGTTGCTGTATTGTCTTTCAACTAATTCTATCACATCCAAATTAGGGCTTCTTCAAGTTTACATCTCGGAGGCCTCGACATCTCTTGCAGCTTTTGGAGCTAGGCTATAATGTTATGTATAATGATGTTGATATTGTCTGGTTGCAAGATCCATTTCAGTATCTAGAAGGAAGCCACGACGCATACTTCACCGATGACATGACTGGAGTACGTGCAATTCATCCACACATCTCCTTAACATTTTAGAGTTTTTTTTTCTTTCCTTTATTAAACCTTATTCCCGTCTATTTTTGGTGGCAGGTTAAGCCTTTGAATCATTCCCATGATTTACCACCTCCGGATCGAAACGGTGTGACTTATATATGTAGCTGCATGATTTTCTTGCGTCCCACGAATGGAGCGAAACTTCTCATGAAGAAATGGATTGAGGAACTTCAAGATGGAAATAAAGCATGTGAAGGAAATGATCAGCCAGCTTTTAACTGGGCACTCAACAAGACAGCTAGTCAGGTATTTTTAAATTTAATGCGTATCTAATATCATAAAACAGCCTCTTGACTCTTTATCTAACTTTTGAATATATATTTTGTACTAGTTCACTTGTTTTGAATACATTCTCAACTCTTTCGTGATCTTGTCTTTCTGCAGGTAGATCTATACTTGCTTTCGCAAGCAGCGTTTCCAACAGGAGGATTGTACTTCAATAACAAGACATGGGTTGAAGAAACAAAAGGGAAACATGTCATAGTCCACAACAACTACATTATTGGTTATGAGAATAAGATGAAACGCTTCCACGACTTTGGTCTATGGCTAGTTGATGAGCATGCTTTTGAGTCCCCATTGGGAAAGTTAGAGTGAAATTTATATTGTCTTGTTATGTGTGAATGTTATACTTATATGGCTAATTCTGAACAGAGGAAAACAGGGGGAAACAGAGGAAGTAAAAGAGATACGTATATTTATATATGGAATCATTATATTTTAGAATGTGAAAATATTTACATATGTTAAACTAATATTTCATTTACGTTTTTTTCGAACCTAATATGTATAGTATATTTATTTCATGTAAATCATGTATACAAATTGTATGAAAATGAATTATATATGTAATCTAATACGCCTAGGCTTAGATGAATCATGCTATAGACTCGTGGTATAAGTCCACACCACATTCCAGAAGAATACACACATATTATTATAATTTCAATTTGCAAGAGATGAACATGTTTAGCAGATCAAACTCAAACCATGTAACTAAGAAATTGGATGAAGACCACCAAAGCGTTTTATAAAGAACAGAGTTTCCGCATAATTAATGTACACTTAAACACACACATCTTGATCGACTCAACAAGAAACTAAAATACAAGACTCTTCATTCATTTATTATAAGCAGAACTTCGAGGTGTGTCTGTTTCCTATGACGGTGAAAGCATATCACCAGTCATCTTCTCTGCCTTTTTCTTCACGCTCACCTGAAAATGTTTTAAAGACATGTCAAAACAAAGACAAATATCAAGTCTTTCTTTTTGTGATAAAAGAAATGTTTCTGAAGTAACTTGCCTGTCCAGACAATTGCTTCCACCTTGTAAAGTTGTGAGTCTGGAAAATAACCTACACCAAAAGAAAATGCTATGAACACTTACACGCAAGTGACTCGTCATTTTTGGCGTACGATAAGAGATTTGAGCTCAAAGGAGATGTGAAAAGCGAGTGTTGCTTGGTGGATTAGTGGCCAAAGCGAGGCAAGACGGTTTGGAATTTCGGAAACCAGAAGATACCGAAACGCAACCAGATAAAAGAAATGTTCTTTAGGTCGGAAGAGAAACTGAGAGGAGTCACAGAGATAGGTTTCGCCATTAAAATCGCCATGGTTACCGACTTTGATAGTTTTCTCCTTACCAACTGATTTCAGTATGGAACTTCGAAGTTGACGAAGAGTCGGTTTAGCTATCGTACCGGTTTGGTTACATCACGATTTATACCCAGGGTCTCGGTTCATACCCAACAAAGGCCCCATTCCAAATCTAAACTTGTTACATTTTGATTTATATTTATATTTTAAATTAAATTATTGAATTATGGTTTGTCCATGATAATCCCGTAGATTAGAAAATAGTCCAGTTCAGTGTCTGATCGAGTTTAAAGAGTTTAACAACATTGTTACTAAATAACTATTAGATATAAAATTCATTATTCGAAAGACCCGGACCGATCAGATCCTATCCAAACTCGATCTGGATACCCAAATTCATAGCCATGGCTTATGATTGGGCTAAATTCAATCCACTTTAATATTTCTAGCGACTTCACATAGATTCATGTTTCCTTTTTCAAATCAAAACTTTGCACCTCAATTTTGGAGGAATCACAATCCAAAATCCAAATCCAAAAGAAAGTAAGAGCCATCACATACTCTGAACTTTTTACATAAAACCATGTGAATATATGCATACGTTTAAAGTAGTTTAAAGTAATACAGTAGGAAAATGGAAAACATAATCCAAGTGAACAACACAATACACTGCAGACAGGTAAGACTGCAAAGGAAAATAAAAAATACAATCCAAATAACTAAAACACTGTAGCAAGAAGAAATGGAAAGTGACATAAGATGAAGCTTGGATTCTTCTTGTAGCCCCCACTGACTAATCCAGATCAAGTTTCACCCATTTTAATATACCTAAAGCTAACAAAGACGAAAATATATGTAACAAAAGTCAGTGATATTTGTGGAACGCACTGAAATTCAGAGGCACAACATATTTAATTTTGTAATCCTGCTTGTACTTCTGGTCAACTATTTGTACTTTGTTATGTTTAGTATTTTGGGTATATTATGTGCAAACGGATCATACAAGCTTAATAACTAATAAGGGTGCATACTTCATGGACCTAGAGCAAACAGAAATGAAATTCAAGCGGAAGAGACTAAGAGAAGTGATTACCCCATGTGAATGTAGGCGAGAAACGATTTTTAGTATCTTCATCTTCCCATTCAAACTCAGTTTCCTGTTCTGGTGGTCGCACTATTATTCTCAACTGGCCAATACGTGGGATACTTGTGGCGTTGAAGGGAAGTTTTTTCAGATTTGGACAGGCTGTTATAATCAGGCGCCTCAATAATGGAAATGGAAGAGGTTTCCAGTAGATACTCTTCAGTGTAGGCACAGCTGAAAAATTTAATTCTTCTAGCTTCTCAAATGGTGTAGTAATACCTGTAAGATTGGCTGCCTTCTCTTCATTTATAATTTCTTCCACTTCTGAAAATTTAATGTTAAGGTAGACAAGATTTGGAGATAACAGCAGCCAAGTCAGATCCTTCATTCCACTGCACTTCATTATACGCACCTTTGAGAGGTTGCTTAACAATGGACTTGTCTGATTGATCTCCATGAACTGACTATTTACCACCCAGAGCTGACGAAGATTTTTCATACCCCCCAGCGCTGACATATCAAGTGGCTTTTGTTGAAAGCCATTAATAAATAGGGAGTTGATGGAGTTCATCAACCTTTGGTCACCTAATAATTGATCCAAACCCGACTCCGTAGATATCATTATGTCTAGAACTTGTAGATGCTCCAAGAGCTGCAGCTCCTTGATTAAGCTAGCATCTCCATCAACATTAGAACCTATTAGTCTCAAAATTCTTAAACTCAACAACTTCGATATCTCACCCACACTTCTGAGTTTCTAAGTAGTATTCAAATTCAGGTAATACAGATTTTTCAACTTTTGTAAACCAACAGGCAGCTGCCTTATTCCGGTTAACGACACATCAAGATACTTCAAGGAGACCAACTCAGATATCTCCTCTGGAAGTTCGGTGATGCGAGAATTACCAAATAGATCCAGAACAACTAGTTTTTTCATATAGCGGATGAATTCACCTGAGAGATTCTTCAAATTATTAAGTTGGAGGAAGAGAGTTATAAGTTCTGAACACTTAATGGAGTCGCATGCTATCTCTTCAATCTGATTTTCCATTAATGACATCCTTCTCACTGACCCCCAGTCCTTGAGTTTGGGTATCTTCAATAACCCGACTCTTGCTTGCACAACAAAATTCTCTTTCTGTTTCCCAAGAGAGGATGCAATCCATAGAGCCATTTCGCGCACCACGTCATGCATGGACAGCTTTCTTGAACCAGCCTCCTTCAGTAAATTTGCATTTATAAGGGTACCAACTACATCATGACCCTTATTCATAGCTTTTCTTACATCTTCGTATTCCCCGAGGAATCCCTCGCATAACCAAAAGTTTATAAACCTTTCCTTTTCTATCTCATCGTCTTCCGGGAAAAGAGCACAGTACAAGAAGCAAGATTTAACATTTTCATCACCTAAGTTATCGTAGCTGAACTTCAGAATTGGAAGAATGTTATTTTCCATGTCAGGGAACTCTTTAGCGGATCTAGTCAACTCCTCGACTGCATGCTCCCATTCTTCCACCCTAGTTTTAGTTGACATTGTCTCACCGATGACAATGAGCGCTAGTGGCAGACCACGACATTTTTCAGCGACCTTTCTTGCAAGCTCGACAATGCGAGAATCTCTTGTTAAATTATCATCTCCAACCTTCTTTTCAAACAACTCCCATGCTTCCTCCGGTTCCAAACAGTTGACTTCCACGGGGTCACGATCCCCCATACGCAGACATACTTCGCGAGAACGAGTGGTGAAGGCTACTTTGCATCTGTTTTCACTGGTCAGTTCTGGAACTCCGACGGTTTCTAAATCCACTTTCTCCCATATATCATCGAGCATCAAAACAAATCTCTTTCCACTTAAAACAGTATTTATCTCAGCTGCCTTGTCGCTTTCATTTTTGTTTGTCCACTCGTTGCCATTGAGGTGTAGCTTCTTTGCAATCTCATCTTGAACCTTCTGTAAAGTATTTACACCTCGAGACACCACCATCCACATCATAATATCAACCCTACCATCATCTTTGTTTTGGTCGACATCAACAAACTTATTGTGTATTTTTTTGAGAAGTGTAGTTTTGCCTACACCACCCATTCCGTGCAGACCCATGATTCCGACTCCATCTTGCATAAGACGATTCCATGCCTTTTCGAACATTTGTTCCTGACCAACCGTAGGCCGAGTAGGCCTCGCTTCTATTACAGATCTCAAAACCGGCTCAGTAACCTCTTTAAAATTATCACCCTCTAATTTGAGATTCTTAACCTCTTCAGACAACAAGAAAACACTTTTCCCATATTTGTAGCTCAAACATAAATGTTTTGAGCATAAGTCGCATAAACACAAGTTTTCAAACTCAGCGGCACTTGTACTATCCAGCTCAAGGAACCGTTTTTGGACATCCTCCACACGTGTAAGCCATACCTTGACAGCTGGACGCCTTTGTTGATGCAACCTTTCCTCCCTTTCAACCTTGGTCTTCACCTCTTCTTCAGTTGCGTTGAGATCTTCCATTTGCTTCTTAAGAGCCGTGAGATTCTTCTTAAGGTTTCGAAGATAACCTTCACACGTTAACCATCTAAAAAGACATTTCAGTGTTTCATCACAAGAAAATCCGAAAGAAAAACAACCCCCCATTGTGATCGAAAGATTGAAACTTTCGGTCCACTTTTGCGTTGTAGTTTACGTTGGAAAATAAATAAATAACAAAGGTCTTCATCAATCACCCACTTTGGATAACCTCAGTGGTGAGATACGAGTTTTCCAACCACAAAACATTCTTATCTTAATATGTTTAATTTATTAGTTAATTCTTTTTTTTTTTACTTTTTAAAAAGCGAAACTACTTAATAAAGCTCAGTTTTCTTTTTCTTTCCAATCGGATAATGTTATAAATTTTGATTGGCGTATTTTATGTAAGTATGATTTACGTAAACATTTGTCATGATTTGTTGACAATAAAAAAAATATATTGTGAGAAAAATATATCAATATAAATAGTCAAAGACTTAAAATAATTATAGTTAGGAAAGTTAAATTTCAAATAAATAACGCATGATTGTAGGGAATACAAAATTGGGAATATCCTTATTCTTAAGCCATTGTTCTTAAGCAGATGATAAAGTATTAGTAGTACTAGATTTTATACTCGCGCTACGCGCGAGTCTGTATTAATAATTTAATTTAGTTTTAAAATAACTTAAAACCAAAACATTAAGTGAGTAATATAATTTTCTTATTTAAAATATAATCATTATTTTGGTATTTATATTTTCTTATAATTATGTTATCTTATAAGCTATTTAGTTATTTGTATTTGTAAATATAATAATTATGTTTGTAAACATATTCATAATTTTTGGAAATATTAATATATAAATCAAAATATTAAATAGATTTCTCAATGCATGTAAACTGTTAACACGTTATAATATTTTCATCATACATTTTCATATTTTTTAACAAAATAAATGA